TGCTGTAACCTGGAGTCTGTCTGGAACTTAATTCTTTTACATGAGGTGGATCAAGGCGTGTGATTCAGTATGCAACATTTAAATTATAATTAAATAGAACTTCAAATCTGTGAATATGTATAGTCTCCAATATGGGTGTAGGACCTTTGAATCTAGCTGTAATTAATTTAACTTATTGGTGTTAAAATTCCTTATGGAGAGAAGGAAATAAACTAATAATAATGTACACGTTTTGAAACCAATGGAGAGAGAAATTGAGATTACAGAGTTCTGTAAGAGCTAGAAGTAAAATGAGTCGAAAAGCTGAAAGCTTGACCTTATTTAAGCAAATGGGAAATTTTGCCATCTGTTTCTTAGTTCAGTGCCCTTTCCGTTGGGTCCTGCTGCCTTTGAATGTATTTTCTTTAATAGTATGTACAATGTGACTGATAAGATTTTTAATTTTTTTCTGTTGACTTTGGTTTTATAAGTAAGATTGCGAAGCTTATTCTAGTAAAAAAAAAAAAGATTTATTGAAGAAATAGCCGGGAAAGGCAAGACTTTTAATATATATTTTGAAAGCTAGCCAGTTACCAAGTCAGCAAATTTGACAGCCAATTTAAGAGCCCAATAATTCCTCTGAAATGCAAAGAAGGGCACTACACCAAGAACAGCAAAACATTTGTCATTTAGTTAATGATTGTTAACACATAACATGGAAAAATATAGTTTATTGTAGGGAGTCAGGAGGTCTGAATTGTGTTCCCAAATCTGCTAATGACTCAGTCTGTGATCTGCAAATTATTTAGTCTTCAGATTTGACTTAACAAAGTACTGAAGATCTATCTGTGTCTCGAGTAAGTTAATAGTCCTTACTCAAAGTTTGGTGAAATGGGATCTTTATGTCATCATTATTATTGTTCCATGCAAAATAGAGAGAGCCATACTTGATTACCTTCGCAGGAAAGTTTTGAGTTCTGGCAATGGAAAATGTTACGTGAGTGCTGAGCAGTATCATTAATATAGACACCACAAAAATTTTTTGAACTCCTGAAAAATTTAAAAACAGAAATTGTGATATTCTTTAAGAGTCTGTTAGCATGGCAGTAATTTCCTAGTGTGCTGAATACAGAAATTTTACTAGTAAACACTACAAATGAAAGGGTGCAGTACTCCTAACTGGCCTTGAGGAGGAACATTTGAACAATATATGCAAGCAGCATCTCTTTCAGAGCCACTGTGGGACTTTATTTTGGGAAAATAATATGCAGCAAATTACTTGTTACTAGATGCAAATAACAGTCTTCAAAATATAATTACACATTTTTTAAAAAAAAATCTTTATTATATGTATGTGACTTATGAGGAAATTCTGTCTTAAACTGAGAATCACATTTGACAAGAAAATTTTGGAAGCTTGTTTTGCATGGATTAATTTTTAGAAATTATGTTTTAAAACATAATTTTTTAATTAGTATTTTAACTACTTTTAGAATTAAGCCTTTGTTCCAACAATGACTTCACAAAAAGATTAAAAACCCAAACAGATGAGAAGAGATTCAGAATTGGCTATTTGAAACATGCTTTTTGTTTATATCTTTTTAACTTACTAGCACTATTCATTTGACATATGAATGTTTTAGAGAAGGGGAAAATATTAAGGTTCCACACCTCTTCTTTAATTGAGTGCATGAGACCACAAACACATGGGATCACCAGGAAGCTCTTCATTAAAAATAAGAATGGCAAAATTTAATATTACTAAAGATCAAAGAAAAGAAATAAGTTGGAGAGAGGAAGAGGCAAATCTTTGGCCTTCTTTGTTATCTTTTACATTTATTTGTCGTTTGAGGGGCATAAGGTGATTATTTTTTTTCTTAATACGTACTTTACAGGCCACTTTTACTTCTCCTGGCTTCTTTAGCTCCACGTATCCAAGGACTGTTCCTTATTAGGTTATTTTGAAAAGAAAATTATAGGTTTTGCTTCTGTCTTCTTTGTCATATAACACTTAAGGATCTTTCTGTTCAGCAGTATGGATATATAGCAGATCAGCTTATATGAATTGAGGAAATTTTATGTTTTACTCTAAAAGGACATTGTAAAAAATTCTGATTGGTACTAGTGCAGGTTCAGCTTCAGTCGTGTCATCAGAGAAACTTCATGCTGTAGGTGTGCTGATTGTGTTTGAATTGTTTGTTGTCAAGAAGCCTGTAGTGAGTAGATTGTCATGACATAGAAATACTGAAAATGTTCACATAGACCACTTAAGCTCTAATTGTTAAATGCAGAAGTGTATATGTAACATTACCTTAACTCAGATAGATCTGTATATACTCAGCACTGACTTTGTGGGAGGATATCAGCTGAAAACAACACAATAGAGTGTAGAGCAGACCTTAAAAAGGGCAGGTGATGCTATTGATAGGAAAGATCTCTGTTTCGGCCTCTGCTGAATAAGTGTCCATATAAGGAGCATCTGCTCACTGTTTTAACCCAGCTGTAGCTGGTCTGAGAAAGGAGGCTTGAGCCAGTTACTTCTGACATGCAATCTCAGTTTTGCTACTAATTTGTGTCCTTGGGCAAATCACTTAGTCTCTGTGCTCTGTTTACACAAGCATTAAAAAAGGAAATTTTTTTCTACCTCACAGACATGTCCTAAGTGTTTATTAATGTTGGTGTAGTGCTTTGAAGTTATAGAGTGCTTTGAAGTTTTTGTCCTTTGAAGTATTGTTTTCTGACTTCTCAAAGATGAACACTTATTTCTTAAATTAACACGTGCCCATGTTTTCTAGCTTATTTTATGTTGCTATGTCATCATCAAATATACATTTAATTTTCTCTATTTTAATTTCTCAAAGATGAAAGCAACCCAAACTACACGTTGCATATTGTTAAATGAACCTGTGAGGTGATGTGCCGTGGGAGTGAGGGACCTGTAGAGGTCACCATTTCTCCACCCAGGCTTTCCCACTCTGAGCCTGGAGCCTGCAGCTGTGGTTACTGTCTTCTGCTGAAACTGCATCTAAGGCAACGGAATGACTTCCAGTAACTTCTTGTGTTCTTTAGGGCATTTTCTTGATAAAATTCATGGAAAGTCAAACATTAATAACACGGTTTTGCTCACCGTGATATTTTTATGTTTCCCAATGTGTACTTTAATTTCATTTAAGACAATTGTTTGCAGTAATGCCAGCTGTTTATTGGGGACATATCTCGCTGTAGAATAACTAGTCTGTAAGAGATAATAAAGCCAACATCATGATCTAAACATCATGAGGGATGGAGAAATATATCTGGGTAATCAAGGCATTCTCATTAATAAACATGGCTCAGGAATAAAGCTTTCTTTTGGATAACCAGAAATCTAAGTGGGGCCTAGCTAGTTGAGGTTGAACTATATTTAGGTAGAGCTAGATTGAGGAACAGCAGTGTTAGAAGTGTTCATGATGATGATTAGAGTGTACTTGACTTATTATAACGCTGGAAAAGAAGCTGACTACTCAGAATGTCTGCAAGAGAGACAAAATGTAATGCTTAGTTTTGCGTAAAGATTAACTGCAGTAAATTAGGGAAGTCAAAAAGGGAGCTTTGGCACTGAGTGATCTTGTTTGTGTAAGTCATATTTCTGTAGAGAGTAGGCTTGGGGCCTTCCTGGTGCTGAGAAATCTCTACCCTGGCTGGTATTTAAATATGGGGTGTTTCCCAGAGTAGTGCTGTCCTCTGAGTGGCACTGGCACACACAGAACGTGTATCATCAGGGGCCTGAGCAGGGGCCTGCTGGAGCAAGGGGAAAGCTGATCGGTCCAGTCCCATGCTTTGCATCTCATACTAGCACACTGGGCTCCCATCTTCTCCTCTCTGCAACTTACGCATTGGCAGGGCATAACCACCCCTGCAGAGTCCTGTGCCAGGTCCTATACTTGAAAGAGGTACCTCGCAGAAGCTTCCCAGCTTTGTCCGCCATTCATGGATGCTTTCAAAATACTAAGTAATAATACTACAGCTGATACAATAGTTCAGATATTGTATTCTATTTGCAATACCAGTCACGATGTTATCCCAACACTATAGTACTATTTCCTCAGTATAAACAAATGAAGATTGTGTTAAGCGCTGTACCCATACAATGCAAAATGTTCTTTTTTCCGAAGATTAGTGTGTACTTTTAT